GTGTCAGGCAGCGCGCGGAGGGGGAGCTGTCCCTTATCCTAGGCAGGGCGCCTGGATTGAGAGCCTGTTCTGAAGATTCAATAGAGTATGGCCTTCCTGGGTGAGAAGGCTCGTGAGGGTTTATATGGTAAGGGAGGTTGACTTGTAGGTTGTTAGGTGGAGAAATGCTGTTGACTGTCGAAATCCAATGAAGTCATCTGATGCTGACTCAGCCCCCTATATCATATAACTAGTCGCATAGCAGGGGTATAAAGCGACGACGCGAGGTGAAGCAGATGGCCATTGTGCCATAATATTTCCATGGCTTCGGGAAAGAGGACATTCTCAATCAATTGCCAGGTTCATTGCCAGTCTCAACAACGAAGAACTTCCCCTTAGTCTTGGATGCGTAGCCTAGCGCATTCCCATCCCAAGCATCTCCGTCCGGACGGTCATTTCTGGCGCTCTCAACGCGATGGATTCTCCTGCTCCGTCCTACCACTCGTTCTTTGGACATGGCCTCCTTCAATTGTTCTAGTCCGATCGTGTTCTCCTGGATCGCCTCCGGGCTCTCATCTCGAATAGCTTGGAGGGGCTCGACCCCGGTCGCATCGACGCTCTGGATTTCCTTTACAAAGTGAATCTGGGACTCGAGAGTTCGGAGCATCGCGTCCTCTTCTTCTTTGCTTACGGGCTGTGGTAGAGCTGATAGACGTAGAAGATGATGTAGCTGTTTTGGAGTGACCGTGGTGGACTCGATGGCGGATTCGCTGGGAAGTAGTGACTTGACAGACCAGCTCGGTTTCGCGAGCATAGCTTCGATGTCCACCTCGTCGAATTTCGAAGAGGAATAAAGCCGAAAACCATAAGCTCTAGATCTCAGAGCATTTCTTGAAAGCAGACCAGGAACGATCCGAGAACTCTGGCGGAGAAGCATTTGGCCTACTTGAGTTGGCGGGAACTGCACAGATGGACGTCGATCGCTGGAAGATATACTGATTGAAGTATATGAATAATAGTTAAGAGGCAATCTTGGACGAAGCTTTGTTGATTGGAAGAGCAGCGTTGATGTCTAAAAACAAGCGCAACGCAAGAGGTCAAAAAATGGCCCACCGCCTACGTTAGGCGGCATCCCGCATCTTGGAGCTCAGCTTCATGGAATCCATCTATTCTCCACTTGACGCTTTACCATCATAACTGTTCGGTTTCAAGTATACCAAATACCTGTTATTTTATTTGACTATAGCTTCTCACGTTGTCACTTTTCACATACCATGGCTCAAGACCCCCGAGTCCTGCTCCAGAAAGTAACATGCATTCCCCGCTTTAAGGTCCCAAGTGACGATCACTGACATTATCGTCTCTCTAGGCAGACAAAGCGCTGCAAGGCGCCTCAAGTGGACTAAGCTTCTTCGGCGGACGGACAGAGAAGTACGAGAACGCCGCAGATTTGTATATCCAGGCCGCAAATGCTTTCAGAGTGCAGAAGCAGAGTACGCGCATCCCCCCACCTCCATCTTCCTCAAGCCCCAGGGGTTCACTGACAGGTTGCCTTCTGGATGACCAGACAAAGAAGCCGGGCTAGCGTTTGAAAAAGCTGCCTCAATCCAGACAAAGAACCTCAACGAGCCAGACGACGCAGCAAACACGTTGCAAGAAGCCTTCAAGGTCTACCGCAAATCCGACCCCGAGGACGCCGCTCGCGTGCTCTCAGCGGCGATTCAACACTACGTATTGAAGGGGAATCTGCGTCGGGCCGCGACACAGCAGCAGCATCTGGCGGAGGTGTACGAGGTCGAACTGGGCGATACGAAGAAGGCGCTGGAAGCCTATGAGAAAGCGGCGGAGTGGTTTGACGGTGACAATGCGGAAGCGTATGCGGCCTCTTTCCCGTCGTACACGATTGCAGGAGACCGATCGGTGCTGACTAGTATCTGCGTACAGGCTCGCGAACAAGCACTACCTGAAAGTGGCGGATCTGGCCGCCCTCGAGGGAGACTACTACAAGGCCATTGAGAACTACGAGAGAATCGGCCGGTCGTCCATCACCAATAATCTCATGAAGTGGTCTGTCAAGGACTACTTCCTGAAGGCGGGTATCTGCCATCTGGCAAGCAAGGTATGTCTCGATTCGTCGCCTCCCAGCTTCCCTTGTTTCCGTTCTCGTTGCTCATTCGTCTTGCCAGGACATTGTCGCCACGAACCGTGCCCTCGAGAGTTACCGCGACACTGATCCTACATTTGCCTCGACGAGAGAGCACCAGTTGCTCGTTGATCTGGCGCAGGCTGTCGAGGGCGGAGACCAGGAAGCCTTCTCCGATAAGTTGTTCCAGTATGACCAGCTCAGCAAGCTGGACAAGTGGAAGACTACTCTCTTGCTGCGTGTTAAGAACAATATCGAAGAGGCGGAGGAAGATTTCTCTTAGGCAAGCGTGCCTCACGTAATTCTCTTTATAGTGTTTGATAGCTGAACAAGGGTTGAATGTATCGTGTCCCTGGTTGGACTGGCCGGATATTTGACGATTATGCTAGATGTTGTGACGATGGTTCTTCGGCTGAATTTATGCCTGCGTTTTGTCGGTGTTCCATTCCCTTTAATATCTCCAGGAATAACGTATACAAGCTTGTGATTAGTGAGGCGATCCCAGACTTGGATGAATCATAACTCATTAGCTGAATCTACTGCTTTGTCTATATACGTCAGAAAATCTTGTTAACCCTGACGAGCCCATGAAATATGCAAAGTCGACTTTTGTGGTATCATGTCATCCTTCCATGTAAACTTGACCCAATAAAATCCACCAAAACAGACACAGCACACATCTAAGCAACAACTTCCTCCAGAGCCCGGGCCTTTCTGGGGAAGACTCTCTTGTACAGACTGATGCCGATCGAATCCTGGGGATTGAGCTTGCCATCGAAAGTAGCCTTGAAGTAACCGTGCGTACCGAGACTCTCCTTGATGTAACCGCTGCGCCCTCTCCTGGTCCACAGCTGCAGGGCCTTGAACCAGTTGATGTCCTCCGCGTTGAAGAACATGTAGCGGACGGTGACGACTCGCTTGTGGATCTTGTACGGGTGACCCGTGAGGATGGCTCTCTTCGCAACGACGCGGGACTGGTCAGGAGCGACGACGGTGCCGGTTCCGATGAGCTCCAGGTTGTCGAGGTTGATCTGGTCCTCTGCGTCGGCATCGGCCGAGTGGAGGACCTCGGGATCCTGGGTTTGCTTGCCTTTGAAGACGAGGATGGGAACGGCACCCCACGTGAGAGGTCCTATCCATGTAGCAATAGCGCTACGGCCGGGGTGGAGGAACCTATCGAACTTGTGCACGTTGTTCGGGGTGTTATCGCCAGCAGAGAAGATTGGCTTGACGACCAGACGGCGGGGGCCGCATTGAACGACGAGCTCCTCCTTGGACTTGAGGGGCTCCTCAACGCTAGAATTCAGGTGCATGTTCACGTTGACTACGGTCTGCTTGTGCTCGTGACGCAGGAGTGAGAAGAGAGACAGGGGCTGCCGGCGGTTACGGAGCGAGGACGGTACTCCACGCAAGTGGACATCAACCCTTACGCCAGGATTCACACCGCCAACCAGAGCTTCACGGAGAGTTCTGTTCTTGGAGCCTTTGTAATCCACGATCTGCAGCAGCCGGCGCCAGTCCTCTGGTTCATGCGGACGATCTTCTGCAGTCTCCCAAGCGCTAGTCTTGAAATTCTTCAGACCTCTAAAGCGAGCCAGCCGCTCCCTCGCAAGCACGTTAGGGTGAAGTTCGATTTCGTCTGGGAACTCCAGGTCATCAGACGCTTCCTTGCGGCGACTGGCCCGATATTCCTCGAGTTGCTGAGCTTCGTCTTCTGGCGAGGGGTCAAGGAACATCTCGGACTGAGGGTACTCAGAAGGTCCAGCTTCTGTCATAGCATCATGATGATCCGGGAATACGCCATCCTCGGGATTTCCAGCGGTATCCATAGCCATAGCCTCGTCCTCTTCCTCTTCCTCAATGTCGGAGCCGGAGTCGGAGACATCGTCGATGAACCATGCCGATTGGTATTCTGACGTTCCCTTTGGCAGTCTCTTAGGGCGCGCGGGCAGATGGGAGTCGTCATCGGAGAAGTAATGGTGGTCGTCTAGAAGAACACCCTTGCGCTCTGTGTCGGCGATAGAGACATCATCCTCCTCCATCTCGATCTCCTCGGGAGCCACAGTGGCGAGGTCGTCCCGGTCAGCAGTGGGAACATCCAGAACCTGTGGACCCTCATTCTCATCGACATTCATGGCATCATCGCGCTTGGCTCGGGCACTCGGCAGTGGTGCTGCAGTGATCGAGTCAATCTGGAAGTCGCCCCATCCGGGGATATGAACGAGGCGGTCCGCCTTTAGTCCCTTTCCGCGAACAATGCCGGTCAAAACAACATCATCGACAACTTCTGATGTGGCCTCGGGCCATTTCATCTCCTCGACCAGCATCCAGCTGCGCTCGTCGCGCCAGCGGATACCCTTGGGTGTTGCGGTACACAGGGACCGGACGACGTTGGAGCATTCCTGTCTCGAGTCGACAGACAGGACCTTTTCGACAGAAGGAAAGAAGTGGTTGATGAATGATTTGAGGGAAGAGGCCACCTGCGGACGCTTCTTGGGAGGGTTGATCTTATCCAGACCCTAGGAGAATAAGCCCACGGTTAGCTCTAGCAGCCCGAAAATGCAGACAGAAGGATCTCGGCATACCTGAACGACAGCCACAACATTGGAGATACCCTGGCCCTCGATCGATCTCAACAGCCGTTCCCCCTGCTCATCCACCTCCACCTCCGAGGACAATGCCAGCACGACGAAATCCGCCATGCGGCACACATCCAATGCGCCCATCAGGTCGAATTTTGCGGGAATATACTGAAGGCTTTGTCTGAAGCGATCGACACGCACACGAGAAATCGTGTCCGCGGAAACATCGGCTGAAACATCCACACTTTCGTTCAAAGACCGGAGGATTGCAGCGACATCGATATCGACGGAAAGCGGCACAACAGCGACATGGCGGGGGGCACCGTTCGCTCCGGTGAAGATACTGTTAGCCTGCGCCTTTTCTTGATGCTTGAGCTGCTGTTTCTGACGAGCCTGGTTTCGACGATCGAGCTTCGACATCAGTTGCTGGTGAGGGGTCTTGCGGGTACCCCGCTCTACCTTGCCTGATCACAGGTATCGCAATTAGAGTCGTTCTGAAAGCACTAATACTAGACTGCAAGGCAAGGCATTCATACCCTTGTTGATGTCCTTCAGAGCACCCTTCGAAGCATGCTTGGTCTTATATGGCTTGTGGGATGTTTTGGTAGTTGAGCGGTGATGATGCACCGTCTGGGTGGGCGCCATGTTGGCACCGCTGGACCCTTTGAATCGAAAGGGAAGAGAGTCCAGTTTGCTAGAGGAAATATACAGAGAGTTAAAATGTCCAAGAAAAGAGACCTGACAAAAATCTCAAAGGGCTCTATCTGGCACGATAAGCCGTTGCACGATAGACAAGATCTCGGAGAGCGGGTCTTTTCTGCCAGGGAAAAAAAAATATTGTAGGTAATTGTGGGCAAGCGAGCGTGAAATCTTGGCATGAATTTTCCTTCAAGACCCGCAGACAACCCCGACCTCCGATCACCTTTTCGACAGCAATACATTCTCGCTCGCATTTTACTTTTCGTTTGTTCCTCCTTTGAGTCTCCTGAATTACTTGAAAAGAGCGGAAGGAACGCAAGCAAATGGCTGAATCCGCACCGACGATGGCCGTTGCGCCGACCAACAAGCGCGAAAAGAGTAAACGGCTGGTCGAAGCGCAAAAAACTTACGGACGTGGCAAGCCCATCAACGTACAGAGCGTGAGGGATAGGAAGCTACGCAGCAATCTCAAAGCCGTGGAGGCGAAGTTCAAGGAAGCCGCACTCAAGGCGAAGGATGCGGAAATTCTGCTCGAGCATGAGGCGGGATTTCTGGAGCCTGAAGGGGAGCTCGAACGGACATACAAGGTGCGACAGGACGAGATTCGCGAGAATGTCGGTATCGAGACGGCGAAGAAGGGATTCGAGTTGAAGTTGGAAGATCTGGGGCCCTACCGGGCAGACTATACAAGGAACGGTCGGGAGCTGCTTTTGGCTGGTCGGAAAGGGCACATTGCGACGATGGACTGGCGGAATGGCAAATTGGGCTGTGAGCTGCAACTGGGAGAGACGGTTCGCGATGCTCGGTGGTTGCATAACAATCAGTACTTTGCTGTTGCTCAGAGGAAGCACGTCTACATCTACGACCACGCCGGCGTCGAGCTGCACTGTCTCAACAAGTATATCGAACCGGTCTTCCTCGACTTTCTCCCATACCACTTCCTTCTCGTTGGCGCTGTAAGATCGACCTTTTAGATCAAGAATTTGGTGGTATCTGGAAATCGCTAACACATGTCTGTTGCAGCAAATGAGTGGTCATCTCAAGTACACCGACACATCGACCGGCCAGATGGTCACAGAACTGCCCACGCGACTCGGCTGCCCGACATCGCTTTGCCAGAACCCATGGAACGCCATCATGCACGTCGGTCATCAGAATGGAACGGTTACGCTGTGGTCTCCGAACTCCCAAACCAACCTCGTGAAAGCGCTCGTGCACCGCGGTCCCGTTCGCTCGTTAGCGGTGGATAGACAAGGACGATACATGGTGTCGACGGGCCAGGACCAGAAAATGTGCGTGTGGGATATCCGTATGTTCCGGGAGGTGCACTCCTACTCGTGCTACCAGCCCGGAGCATCGGTCGCGATCAGTGACCGCGGTCTTACAGCAGTCGGCTGGGGTACGCAGGTGAGCGTGTGGCGCGGCCTCTTCGACGCTGCGCAGGCGGACCAGGGCAAAGTGAAGAGCCCCTACATGGCCTGGGGCGGGGACGGCCATCGCATCGAGAACATGCGCTGGTGCCCGTTCGAGGACGTGCTGGGAGTCACGCACGACAAGGGATTCGCCAGCATCCTGGTTCCCGGCGCCGGAGAGCCCAACTTCGACGCCCTGGAGGTCAACCCGTACGAGAACACGAAGCAGCGCCAGGAGGCCGAGGTGCGCGCTCTGTTGAACAAGCTGCAGCCCGAGATGATCTCCCTGGACGCCAACTTTGTCGGCAAACTGGACACGATCAGCGACAAGAAGAACCGGGAGGAGAAGGATCTCGACCGCAGACCCGAGGACCCGATCGAGAAGCTCAAGAACCGCGGCCGCGGCCGCAACAGTGCCCTGCGGAAGTACCTCCGGAAGAAGGGCCGGCGCAATGTCATCGACGACAAGCTCGTCAAGGCGGAGATGCTGCGCAAGGAACACGCTGCCCGGCAAAAGGAGAAGCTCCGTGCCGAGCGGCAGGACCTGGGTCCTGCGTTGGCGCGATTCGCCAAGAAGGAGATTTGATTGCCAGTGCATCGTGCCGGAGCGTCAAGTCTTGGATGTTTTGCTGCATGTTGATTGCTTCCTCTCTCATCTCCACGCGAGAGGTGACCGAGCGGAGGATTTAGATACCCAGTTTCTCGTGGACCGTCGGTTCTCAGCCTGTTATGATTGATCACTCTGCATTTTCCGGGCGTTTGGTAAGGTTATGGGTACGGGGCACAAAAGTGACAAGTTCGTTTGTAGTCATCAAGTCATTGACATTTGTACAATTTACATACATCCTTCCGCTATAGATGAATGCACCAGCCTGCACCCATCCATCATATATAGATCCCGCTCAATCATGGAATCAGCCTGCCCATCTAATCATCCACACTCCCCGAATTCTTCGGCGCCCCATTCTTCCACCTCTCCAAACTCACCTCATACGCCCCGCTCGCCTTCCACGCACTCAGAATCAGATTGACAATATGATCCATCCCCTTCCCATGCTTCACCACCGCGAAAACCGTCGGGCCCCCCTCCCTCATCTTCGCCGCATCCCGCTCCATCACCGACAGATCCGCCCCCACCGCCTCGGCAAGATCAATCTTGTTCACAACCAGCAGATCCGACCCCGTGATGCCCGGC